CTGGAACCAATTTAACGAATCACCACGTTTTTTTTTTCAAAGAAGCGTCTTTCCGAGTACTTTAAAACCATAATTAAAAAAAATAATTATAATGAATTTTAAAGTTTGAGTGGCCTTTTTTATCTGATAAAGTATCTAGAAGTTTTAATTTAGGCTCAGCTCAATTTGCAAAAATTTCAATTTTTTTTCAAAAATTTGGATTGCAAAATTATTATTCGAAAACTATGGAACCGATTTTAACGAAAATTGGTGTGATGTTTTATTATATTAAAAACATTTTTTGGCCAAGTTTGGCCTACCTATAAGTACTTTTAAAAAAATCGCAAAAGTATTGTGATTTTTTCACTTTTTTTGTTTTTGCTATATTTGCAAAAATTATGTTGTATTTTTTTATTTGAAACGTATAATTAATTAAGAAATTTTCTCTAAAATGAATAGTTTTTGAACTGTGTTGAAAAAAAGAGAAAAAAAATGGAATTTTTTCCAACTGTTTCACCATTTGTTTAATAAGTTTAGCACACATTTTGAAGCGCGCACATAGTGAAATTATGTTTTGTTATATCATTTTGGAGCCATTAAAGCAAAAATTAGCGATACTATGTATATAAAACATCTAAAGTACCTACACCAAAACAGATCCCGCCAGGTCTATATATAAATATCACTTTTACTTTTTCATATTCATAAATTAGTACGAAGTTTTTTGTTTTTGTTTTTTTATTTTAACATTATTATTCAACATTTCGATAAAAGTGCTAAATATAAAATATTAACATAATTATGGTTCTTACCTTGATGAAGAATGCACGCTAAATTCTCTTCCATATCTATAATAGTTATTCCATCAATTTCTCAAATACTCAATCTATAGGTAAAAAATTTAAAATAGTACACGTTAAGAAGTATACATATAGGTACTTTTTCAAAGTAAACGAAAGAGATATGTTTTTTTTAATTTAAGTAGGTATTATTTTATTTCTTCCTCCTATATAAAAACTTATTGCATTTGTTTACTATTTTTGCAATTGCAAATATCCAATGTAGGTATATCAGGTATTAAATAGGAACAATTTATTTAGAAAATTCTTGAGAAAAGCTTTCTTTCCCGAAATTAACAATAACAAACAGGCATATTGTATATTATCAGTTTCAAGTGATTTTATTGTTTTAAGTAAGTTAAAATTCTTTATATAAATCCTAAATTTTCATAAAATAACTTGTGAAATATAGACATTTTCAAGATTTTCTAATGATTATTTTAACCATTCATTTAATATAAAATTTCTTAGCAACAAACATGACAGATTTCATTTTGTTATGCTGTCAAATACTTGCATTATACTGCAGTATTTTAAATTAAGTATATATTCCAGACATGACCGTAAGTTAAACAAACTAATTTCTTAAATACTTTTATTATCTTACCCGCCAATTTTTGCTACAATTAAATGCCGAGAACTTCATCACATCACATAATTTTAAAACAACCACAAAATGATGGCCTAGTTAGTAACTAAACCTAAATCTAGTGACATTTCTTTCCCTAATCCATGTTGTGTTGGCTAAGTTAACCTGCAACTTTCTTTTGTAGGCTTGCAGTTCGGCTATCAAAATGTCTACGAATTCAGTGGAAAATGAGGTAAAAATACATGTAACATTAGAACCTAATAGCATGAATGTCATCTGTAATAACTAGTTACCCGACTTTTTCAATATTGTGTTCTTTTATAACTGTTTCTCTGGCAACCCAAGTACCCTTAATTTACTGCCATATTGTAAAATACAATAAAAAATTAAGAATTAGGTGCTTTCTCCTCTTTTCCGACACAGTGAGCTGTGAGTTATTTGAAACTTAAGTTGATTTAACAAATGACTTTATTTTAGATCGAAAAAAACGACCAAAAGAGCGATAACGAATTGGAGATTCCAATGGACTATTCGATAAAACATCCTCTGCAGAACTGTTGGACACTGTGGTACTACGAAAATGACAGAACGCAGTCGTGGGCACAAAATCAGAAGGAAATTGCTTCGTTTCAAACAGTGGAAGATTTTTGGAGGTATTTGGAGACAAATTATTAATTATATGTTATAGTGACGTGATACATTTCAGCCTGTACAATCACATCAAACCCGCAAGTGAACTGAGACAAGGCTCTGATTATTCCCTTTTCAAGAAAGGAATCAAACCCATGTGGGAAGATGAAGCTAATAGGAGAGGTGGTCGGTGGCTTCTCAGTTTAGACAGGAAACAAAGAACCAACGAATTGGATCGATATTGGTTGGACATTGTAAGTTTTTAAACATTTTNAATATAAAATTTCTTAGCAACAAACATGACAGATTTCATTTTGTTATGCTGTCAAATACTTGCATTATACTGCAGTATTTTAAATTAAGTATATATTCCAGACATGACCGTAAGTTAAACAAACTAATTTCTTAAATACTTTTATTATCTTTACCCGCCAATTTTTGCTACAATTAAATGCCGAGAACTTCATCACATCACATAATTTTAAAACAACCACAAAATGATGGCCTAGTTAGTAACTAAACCTAAATCTAGTGACATTTCTTTCCCTAATCCATGTTGTGTTGGCTAAGTTAACCTGCAACTTTCTTTTGTAGGCTTGCAGTTCGGCTATCAAAATGTCTACGAATTCAGTGGAAAATGAGGTAAAAATACATGTAACATTAGAACCTAATAGCATGAATGTCATCTGTAATAACTAGTTACCCGACTTTTTCAATATTGTGTTCTTTTATAACTGTTTCTCTGGCAACCCAAGTACCCTTACTTTACTGCCATATTGTAAAATACAATAAAAAATTAAGAATTAGGTGCTTTCTCCTCTTTTCCGACACAGTGAGCTGTGAGTTATTTGAAACTTAAGTTGATTTAACAAATGACTTTATTTTAGATCGAAAAAAACGACCAAAAGAGCGATAACGAATTGGAGATTCCAATGGACTATTCGATAAAACATCCTCTGCAGAACTGTTGGACACTGTGGTACTATGAAAATGACAGAACGCAGTCGTGGGCACAAAATCAGAAGGAAATTGCTTCGTTTCAAACAGTGGAAGATTTTTGGAGGTATTTGGAGACAAATTATTAATTATATGTTATAGTGACGTGATACATTTCAGCCTGTACAATCACATCAAACCTGCAAGTGAACTGAGACAAGGCTCTGATTATTCCCTTTTCAAGAAAGGAATCAAACCCATGTGGGAAGATGAAGCTAATAGGAGAGGTGGTCGGTGGCTTCTCAGTTTAGACAGGAAACAAAGAACCAACGAATTGGATCGATATTGGTTGGACATTGTAAGTTTTTAAACATTTTCAGATCGTTGCATTGAATTAATTCTGTTTTTGTTAAAGATTTTATGCTTAATTGGAGAAGCTTTCGAAAATTCTGATGAAGTTTGTGGGGCTGTTGTAAATATCAGGCAGAAAGGTGATAAAATAGGTAAGTGATGATGACAGTGTGTGCACAATTCCATCGGGTGTTAAAATTATTATTATAAGCGTTTATATGTTACTTTTTTAATATTAATTATGTTTTAAGGAATTTGGACCTCAGATGCACAAAACGGTGTAGCAGTTTTGGAAATAGGAAGGAAATTGAAAGAAAGGTTGCGCATACCGTCGAGAACGATTTTAGGATATCAAGTGCATAAAGATACGATCGAAAAGACAGGTTCAGTCTCTAAATACTCTTACACTGTTTAGCGGGCTAAACAATGATCCTAGCTCAGAGTTAAATATTGATTAATGTTAACTTTATTTTTAATTGTATTTTGTATTCTCTTTTTTTTAGAATGAATTAATTTTGAGTTTGAATGGTTTATTATTATACTCGTTTTGGAATTATTTATTGTTTCTTCTTGCTGATGAATGATTTTCTGTCTTGTTATAAGAAAAAGATATAACTTGTTTACAATATATTTTATAATTTTAACACATGTAATTTCTAACCTTGTGTATTTATATATAAATTCATTATATATTATTAATAAAATCACTTTTATAATTTTAACTTTACGGTTTTGTGGATATTTGAGTTCAGAAGTATAGTTTCTTTTTCACTTTCACTTTTTCATAGAATTGGGGACGTATTTTCCTGAGGGCGTAAGGGGCGATTGTCTGGGGTGATCGAAGGGCTATCCCTCTATGTTTTTTGCGCCGATATTTTACATTTACTAACAGGTACTGGGGTCCTGATCACATTCTCCTAGAACGCGTAATATAGAAATACATTCCTCCATAGAATTTATATTTTCCATTCATATTTTTATATTCATTATACAAAAAAATATCCAAATGATAAGACTCCTTTGGAGGGTCATATCTCAGTAACGGTGTCCTGGAGGACCAATGTTTTATAGCAACTTTTTTTACTATATCGCCTTAAATTTTGTACCAACTTTTCCAAACACCCTGTATATTGAAAAACTAAGTGTGTTCTGCATATTAAACAATTTAACCAAAAGATACCTGCAAATTTTAAGTAACAATTTTAAGACGAGAC